GCATGAAATATATGTTATCCACGTCAAAAAAATGGTGTCGTGTTCGAAAACAAGTCTTTTCGGGAATGTTGATTATTTTTTTCCCTTTTGTCCCTATTTACTCGTATTTTCCTTGACTTCTTTAAATGTATATGATTTTGCTTGAAAACGCGATGGGGCATGAAATATATGTTATCCACGTCAAATAATGGTGTCGTGTTAAAAAACAAGTCTTTTCGGAGACGTTGATTATTTTTTCCCTTTTGTCCTTATTTACTCGTATTTTCCTTGACTTCTTTAAGTGTATACGATTTTGCTTCAAAACGCCATGGGGCACGAAATATATGTTATCCATCAAATAATGATGCCGTGTTCGAACACAAGTCTTTCTAAAGTCGTTGATTATTTTTTCCCTTTTGTCCCTATTTACTCGTATTTTCCTTGACTTCTTTAAATTTATATGATTTTGCTTCAAAACGCGATGAGGCACGAAATATATGTCATCCACATCAAACAAGAGCATTCACCACTTTTTCTTCCTACCCAATTCCCCCAACTTAGACTTGATGTCAAGGTCTGCGCTAATGTAGAAGTGCCTAGGCCTAGCAAAGGAGAGCAAAGTAAGTCAACAAGCAACGGATTGAGAAGACAGTTTCTCTTTACGCGAAAGAAGATGTGAACATCCAGTAAAGGCCAGCCCCAGCCCTTAGGTCAATTATATCGAGCCTTCTATTTGTCTCAGATTTATGAAGATTGTGATTCACCTGAGACGGTGGGAATGGTGTCGTGTTCGAACACAAGTCTTTCCGGAGACGTTGATTATTTTTTCCTTTTTGTCTATATTTACTCGTATTTTCCTTGACTTCTTTAAATGTATACGATTTTTCTTGTAAACGTGATGGGGCATGAAATATATGTTATCCACATCAGATAATGGTATCGTGTTTGAAAACAAGTCTTTTCGGAGACGTTGATTTTTTTTTTCCATTTTGCCCCTATTTACTCGTATTTCTCTTTTTTTTTTCGAAACGATAGATTTTATTATAAACCACACAAATATACAAAAGTACAGCCAACAGCTGAATACAAACAGCCAACGGCTGAATACAAACAGCCAATTGCTGAATAAAATGGGAGGAAAGTCTAAAGACTGCCTAGAGCCGACCCCAACGGGGTAATACTCGCAACACACAAAACACTAACACACAAACTACCAAACTAAAAAGACCCCAATAGGGTAATACACGAGTATCGGCTCCCAACAGGAGAATAAATTTGATACTCGGACTCACAGAGGCCAACGCCGCAAACCAAAACCACAATTCCTAAAACAAGACAACACAAACAACACAAAATAGACGAAACAACAAAACACAAATAAAACAAAAAACAAACATATAACACCCTTCTCCAGCAAAGAAGAACAGATCAAAACCAGTATAGAACCGATCAATCCAAGAAAGAACCGAGACCGATGCCCAACTTCTGAAACTGCTGTCGAACGCCTATACAGAAGCTGAACCTAGACCCCGAGACCAACCCGAATCAACCCACCTTCGACCAAGAGACCGACCAGCCAACTCCCTGCAACAGCCCCGCATTAGCTCTCCTAACACCACTAGCCAAGCTAAACGAAGCTGGACCCACCCAGCCCCCAACACCAGAGAACCGAACTGAATGGGAAAAGGCTAATCCTGCTACTCCCGCACCCCGACTGGTGATGCCGCAGACGCCGGAGCCCCGTTCCGCCCTCCGACCACACGCCTCCCAATCTGACCACAGTCCGCTGACATCTCAAGCTCGAGCCCCAAAATCCAAACCCAGAAGCCCAACCGGAAATTGACCTATGAGCCTCCGACAATAAAATTGATGGTGAATCAACCAATCGAAGACCACCGGCGTTCTCAGAGGGAGACCACCCGCCTTGGACCACCACCACCGCAGTCGCACTTTGACGACGACCAAAGGCAGAGCTCTCCTTCAAGCAACTTTTGCAGCAAAATCGAAGAGTCACGTTATCGGGGGCGGCCGAGCGGTCGTGGGTGACCACTGGCCCGAGCTGCACCTTCGTCGGAAAAGGCAAATCAGCGGCGATATGTAAGGTTTGTGCTAGGTTTTTTGGTGGACGGGAGCTTTCTCTATTTTTGGTTTTGACCTTACTCGTATTTTCCTTGACTCTTTTAAATGTATATGATTTTGTCAAAACACGATGGTGCACGAAATATATGTTATCCACATCAAATAATGGTGACGTGTTCGACAACAAGTCTTTTTTGGAGACGATGATTATTTTTTCCCTTTTGTCCATATTTACTCGTATTTTCCTGGACTTCTTTAAATGTATACGATTTTGATTCAAAACGCGATTGGGCACGAAATATATGTTACCCACATCAAAATATGGTTTCGTGTTCGAAAAAATGTCCTTCTGTAGACGTTGATTATTTTTTCCCTTTTGCCCTTATATTTACTCGTATTTTTCTTGACTTCTTTAAATGTCAACGATTTTACTTCAAAACGTGATGAGGCAAGAAATATATGTTATCTACATCAAATATGTTGTCGTGTTCGAACACAAGTGTTTCCAGAGACGCTGATTATTTTTTCTCTTTTGTCCTTATTTACTCGTATCCTTGACTTCTTTAAATGTATACGATTTTGCTTCAAAACGCGATGGGACGAAAAATACATTTTATCCACAGCAAGTAATGATGTCGTGTTCGAAAACAAGTTGTTGTTAGCCGAGTTGGTCTGGATTGAACCGGATGCTCAACCTCTCCGGATCGAACTGAAGACCCGGTCTGGTGAGGGAGTGCCGAGCTGAAACGAGGATTAAAGATGTGTGGAATCATCATGAGAACGCTCCCCCAGTCCGGCACATGGGTCAGTCAGGACAAGTGCCGGCCTGGATGGGAGCCGGACAGGAAGAAGATCATTCGTGGTCTCATGAACACTTTCAACTGAGGTGCCGGTCTGGAAATCTGAGAGGACCGGCCAGAGGGAAGGTGCAGGCCTCAGTTAGCATTAGGATATTCCCGTCCGGAAGGCCATCATTGGGCGATAGGACAAGTAATCATAGTCTAGCACCCTACAAGCAAACCTAGACAAGAAAGCCTGCCAGCATTAAATGCCCCCCCATGCTGGCATTTAATGCCTGACAGGTAATGATTGAAGAAACCTCAAATCATATTAAATACATGTCAGAGGGGCGCCGGATTGCTCCCCAGGATCACTGTGCGACAAGACTGGTGAACAGTAGCTGAATAGTGCCACATTAAAGACTACTATAAATAGCAGCTCATTTCATTTATTTTGGGTTGTTGAAATCCAACTAACTCTGCCTTCTCTCTACTTTCTCTCTCAGAGCTGTAAGAAACTCGTTGTAAGAATTGTAAGTATATCGCAAGTGCCGACCTCGTACGAGAGGCCGACCTCGTGATCGTCTAACAAAATCGTAATAAAACCGAACCGTTCTCCCATTTTCAGTCTTGCTTTCGGCATTCTTTATTTTTAACCGTTGACCGAAAATGCTCGTCAACAGTTTGGCGCTAGAGGAAGGGCACCATAAGTTACTTGGTGTCAACTATTCGATATTGTTAATTCCCATACCCACTCGTCTTCGTTCACCCCGAATCCTGTTCAAGATGTCCTCATGCAGCCACGACGAGTCAACCCAGCAGTCCGGCGCTCAGTCCCGCCGACGCAACGGCGAAGAAACCTCTCGCCGCAACCAGCAAGGTACCCAAGCTCCCGTCCCTCCTGTCCCAACTTTTGCTGCCGCCATTCAGCATCCCGACGTCCTCAAAGCCCTGGAAGGAGTCTTCGCCAAGGCCCTGACAGCCCAGGCGCCTGGGGGAAACACCGTGGCAGCCACGGAAAACCCCATCAACACCCTGCTCCAGACCCCTGACAAGGAGGCCGGGGGGCAGCAGAAAAAACCCGCTAAATCCAAAACGACAGCTCAATCACCCAATCGCGCCGCCCTAGACCGACGCGAAAAGGGCACAAGGCCGGCACCCACCGAACAAACGGGTGAGAGCCAGCCAGATCGGAGCCTCCAGGTCATACGTCGCTCCATATACCAGTGCCTGGGCGACAAAACTCAGGCCAACTGCGACCTTAGGGACGTGATTGAGCGGGGCAAAAACATTGGGCGCGACGCGGATGAAGTCGCGGCCCTCAAGCGCAGAATCGCCGAACTGGAGGGTCGGCGCTCTCCCCGAGGGGGTGCATCACCTCCCCGCTACTCACAACCCATTCCTCGGGTCGTGGATCACGCCTCCCCCCTCTCTCCCGACATCCTGCGCGAGCCCGTACCTCAGAAAATCAAGGTGCCACAGCTCGGACTTTATGATGGAAACTCGGATCCCGACTCCCACATCGGTCTTTACACCTCCTGGATGGACCTGCACGGCGCGACCGACGCTTTATGCTGTCGCATGTTTTCCCTGACCCTAGGACCAAAGGCGCAGAGGTGGTACCATTCCCTATATCCACACTCTATCTGCACTTGGAGCCAGCTCAGGTCGGCGTTCCGATCGCACTTCATTGGATCACAAATCAGCCTGGCCCCCAAGGAATCAATTGCGAACATCGTCCAAGGTGAGGACGAGAGCCTGAAAGACTATATCACCCGATTCAACGACCGAGTTCAGAATATGGAGCAGTGCCACCCCGAGACCCTGCTCGTCTCCGTGCAGGCCGGGCTAAAGCCGAAGACCCTGTTCAAATGGTCATTGTGCCAGAACAAGCCAGCCACCTACCAGGAATTCCTCGCCAAGGCCCAAAATTACATAATGGCCGAGGAATCCTCATCCATCCCGGTGCTGGATGCCACATCGAGCAAGGACAAGAGTGAAGATAAGTTAGGAAAGCCCGGCAAGACATTCGCTGAGGTGCGGGCCATAAGGAAGCAGAGAGCGGAGGAGCTCAAGGAAAGTTACCAGGGCGTCTTCTCCGTGGGTGCCGCCGCGGTCTACGAAGAAATCAAAACGAAGGGCTTGCTACCGGATCCAAAGCCCATGTTCACCGACAAAGACAAGGTGGACAAGTCCCGATATTGCGCCTATCACAAGGCGCATGGACATAACACAGATCAATGCCGTAACTTGATCGCGGCGCTGCTCAAGTTGATAGACGACCCACAAGTCAAAAAGTTCACTCACCCTGGCGAGAAGAGGAAGAAAGGAGGCCGCTTCGGAGACGGCCTCGATAGTGATGAAGATGCCGACATGAACCCCCGGAGGAAAAAGCCACAGCAAGGCGCGCCCAATGAAATCCTAATGTTCAGCCCGACCCATCAAGGTGAGTCCGGCACCTTCGCGGGAAGAAAGAGAGATCGATCCCCACGACCGGGCACCGACCAGACTGATTTTTCACCCCGGCGCGTGAACACGAGCCGGGGAGAATCCCTCCTTTCGAGGAGGCAGACGAAGGCCTACGCCCGACAGGCTTATTACGCCGGACAGAGGGTGATGCACGCTGGAAGCAGACCGGCAGCGGAGCCGACGCCCAACAAAATATCCTTCACTGATGAGGATGCATTCCTGTTCGACCACCCCCACTCGGACGCCCTAGTGATCACGACCCCGATCATGGCGATTAAAATCCACCGAATAATGGTCGACACCGGGGCCTATGCGAGCATCTTGTATTATAACACGTTCAAGAAGATGGGGATTGACAGGAAGGAAGTGCAACCCTGCCGGGAACGGATCCAAGGGTTCAACGGCCAGATGACAACCCCCGTTGGTCAGGTAACACTGCCGATCAAGTTCGGGGAGAAGGGGCAGCCCACGCGAACAATTCTGGAAACTTTCAAAATAGTGGACTGCCCAAGCGAGTACAATGCCATCTTGGGCAGGACAGCCCTCTACAAGCTGAAGAGAGCCGTCTCTATTTTCCATTACTCCATCAAGTTCCCGACCTCGGACGGGGAGGGGACTCATCGGGGAGACCAGAGAGAAGCGCGGGAATGCGTCTTGACTATCCCCCGAGCGGAAATCAATGCGGCGAACTCCGCCCCTGAAGCCGGGAAGAATATGGCCGCGCCCCGCGAAGAGGAAGAGGGCAACCGCACGCTGGGAAACCAGACAGGTTCGCCCCCGATCATGCCAAGTGCCGAACAGGTTGTGAAAGCACCGAGGTGGAAGGAGAAGCAGATGTCGAGGTGGTTCACCCCAGCATGGGAAGCGACCACATGCTGGAAATCTAGATAGATCCGCTCCCCTAGGCCGGGACGAACGCCGAGCAGGAACAAGGGGCCGAGCCCGACCTGGACCAGGATAGGGGTCGAAGAGCAGGAAAGGAACCGGTGTCGGAAGAAGATGAGCTCGACCCGCGAACCCAATACGAAGAAAAGAGGGGCACAAAACGGGCCAAGCCCATGGACGAGGTCGAAATCATATTCATTGATGAGGAGACCTGCCAGAAGCAACTTCGGATCGGCAGTAAATTGCCAGCGCCATTGAAGGCCGAGCTAGTCAGTTTCCTTCGGGAGAACGCGGACGTGTTCGCGTGGACCCACGAAGACATGGTCGGCATTGACCCGAAGGTCGCCTGTCATA